GTGTGTGTGTGTGTGTGTGTGTGTGTGTGTGTGTGTGTGTGTGTTCACCATGCATTATTGGATTTCATAAACAGGAATCTTAGCATGACTCTGTCAACCTTTGATTTGGTCAGCGAAGAAACGATGATGTGTGCTTATCTGTGAGTGTGTTTGGGTAGCTTTGCACACACGGCTGTGCAGAGGAGTTATATCTAGCATGCATGACCTCTTTTTGTAAATGTTTCTGCTTTTTGCTTGTTCTACTGTAAGACAAGTGCAAAACTTTTCACTAACAATGGCAATTCAAACACAGCCTGTGTGTTTGTTCAGTAAAGTCAAAGTAGCGCTCCTTGAAGGAATGCGTGTCGCCCGCCACCTTGCGTGCCAAAGTTTGCAAACAAAGATCTTAACCGATCAGTTATCACTGAAATTATGTGTTGGTGATTACTGTTAGCTACCACCACATCAAACTTTAGCTCATTATCTGTAGAAACAACTGAACTTATGTCATTTTTGTACTGGCTGTGGAAGTCATCTTAAACTGGGTTGAATCCAAAAGTAAATTTTAAACATGTTCAAAGTTTCAACACAGTCTGTCCAGTAGTTTGTGAGATATTTTGCTAACAGAAGAACTTTGCACTGTCTGTCAGCATTCCTGTCATATGTTGGGGATGACTCAGCAATTACCACACCAAATCTAAGCCTAATATCTGTTTAATTCAGTGGTCCCCAAACTACGGTCCCCATTTGGTCCGGCCCCCAGAACAATACCAGAGCGCATTTAGTTTTTTTTTTTCATATATGTGTATTTATATTTGATTATAAAGTTGGACTTTTGCAATAAAATGTTCTTTAGTTATGAACTATTTTCATAATTAACTATTATTAGTTAGTAACTGTTTCATACAAACACGCATATAACGTGACATTCTGTTCCACCTTTCTGCAGTATGTGCCCCTATCTGGCAACCCCCAGAAAAAAATCCTAAACCCGCCCCTCTCAAAGAGAGAATGGAATCATAGCGAAAAGATTAGGTAAGAGAAAAATTGATTCAGAATGCAGGGCATTTAAGCTGCAGTGGACAAACAATATTTTTGTTCATCTGTCAAGAGGCGGTGGCGGTATTCAAAGAATACAATCTGCAGCGACACTATGAATCCCGTCACAAAGACAAGTATGATAGCTTGCGGCCAAATGCGAGCAAACCAACTCTCAAAGCTAAAAGGTGGACTGTTAGCTCAGCAGAAAACATACTGTGAAGAACCCAGAGWGGGTTATTTGATTGTGCTTTCTGGAAAACAATATTTTTTTACATTTAGGCACTCCTGCAATAGTCACACTTTTTCTGTTACAAACTGACTCCGGCCCCCCACCAGAGAAGGGAAAGGTTATGTGGCCCTTACAGGGAAAAGTTTGGGGACCCCTGGTTTAATTGATTGAGGGGTTTTTTTCTACTTCTGTGTTTGCTAAAGTTTATTGCATTCAATGATTGCTTTCTGAAAGTTTCATTGAATTCCACCTGGTAATGAAATATATGAAGACATACATGATGAACATGTAAAGACCCACCATCTGCACAGCATAATTTTTTAGGAAATGTTGCAAAGTTACCAGATCAGGAAATAGACTTCAATCGATTGCTTTAAGGTTGGACATGATACAAACTGAAACATCTAGTAACACAAACCTGGCGCTCATTTCCTCAAAGCCTCTTCTGTCCTTCATTTAATTTCTTTGCTAAGAAATGAAAGCACTAAAATAAACCTCTTAAAGCTTTAGTGTGTATCTGTGCTGCCGTTTGTGCTTCTGTAGAAGTGCAAAAATGTCCAACTGCATGAATCTCTGTTAATAGCTCCTTAGTAAGTCTATCAGGCTGAAATACAACAGTGTAAATCGCTGACATTAAATCCATTTTATGTTTCAGGCTAGCCCAGAAAAAAAAACTAAATTATGACCACACTTGCTCTTTCCCCACTAATTGGGAATAACCCCAGAGGCACATTTATTTACAGAACATAAACTAGTAACCTTCAGTTTTGAACTCGATCAACTTCGATCAAAGTCTCGTCCACCACGTTCATTACCATAATTGATGATGAACAAATCCTCCTCCTCTCATATTTCTAGGTTCAAATCATGTTGAAGGGAGAGCAACGAACCGACTGCATAAATAAACCGAGCACAGCTAGCATTACTGAGACAGTTGTGAGAAAGATTTTAAAGTGGAAAAATCTAATTTAAAGTTAATTTTTACAGATCAAAAATTTCAACTTCACTCCATGAGCTGAATTGTAGCACAGATTGAAAACAAACAAACAAAAAGTATGTCATTAACACAAGACACAAGGGAAAAACATCTACTTTGGTTATCTTAAAATCAACTTAAGCAGGGACCTCTGAGTTTAGGCTGAAATTTAGTAATTCTACCTGAGAGGAATAAAATAATATCAAACAACTATTTTATTTTTAAGACTTTTTGTTGCCAAAACTGGCAAACAAGTATATTACTAATCATTTAGATCTCCGACAAGTTTGTCAATACTATGATAGAAGCTCTTTGTCCCACAAAGTGACTGCCAGGATTAACCTTAATCATCTGATAACCTCACAAAATTCTGCATCACACCTACATCTGTGGTTTAACAGGCTCTACAGAATGCTCTGCAACGACACAACAAACACATTATTCAGTGTTCAGAAGACAGAATGTACAAACTACAGCAGGGGCCTTTTTAGAAAAGACTTATGCAACCATTGTAACTAATTTAAAAAACAAAGATATTTTTACTCACCAAGACCTGGTGGGTTCTCAGGGCACGGCGGCAGCGGTTTGGGAGAAGGTGTCTGATTGTTCTCAGGCTGCATGCTCTGCACCAACTGTTCACCTGTGGCCAGGTAGGTGGCGAATGTCGCATTGGGCCTTGACAGATTGTAGTAGTAATAATGATGTCCGCTCCCGGTTCCGCTCGCGTTGTTCCTGGATCCATTGCGGCCGTTGTTGAAGCGGCTGAAGAGGTCAAACCGTTGCGAGTAGACATCAAAGTACAGGATCATCATGATGAGGAAGTGGAGCAGGCAGAGCAGCAGGACACCTTTGCAGATACGCTCCAGAGTCCGGCCCAACATCAGCCGGGTCATGGCAGAGGAGGATGGCCGTCCTAGGACGGCCAGCCACGGCAACGCTGGCGTGGCGAAGCTATGGGAACGCACTCATCCTAGACGCTTTTGTGGCTGATATTTGCTGTGTTAAACCTCTGACGGGTTTTGCTGATGCTGATGTCAGCAGAGGTCATGGGGTCACTGCCAAAGAGAGGAAGACTACACCATCAGCTACACCTGCTGTTCCTAAAATCTGCGAGGCTAGCTTGCTTGTGGTGTGTCTCCAGATTCTCTGCATGACAAAGCAACTTAATATTTTAAATGCAATAATTCTACATCCACAAACTGAAGCATATCCACTAAGATATGTCACCACTGATGTGATAAATATGAATTTAAATTGTGACTCAAGGTCGTTGTGAGAAAATCCAGGAGAAAAGGCATGTGATGTGGAAAGTTGTGGCTGAAGCGTTGGGGTATTCCATTTTTCAAGACAGTCTGCTCAGCCCAGTTTCTACCACTGAAAATCTCGAAATAATAGGTGATCACAGTGATGGCACAAATATTCATCTGAGTAAAGTAGAGCTGGCATTTCCATTGGGGAGGCCTTTTCTCATGGCACCAAGGGAGATATCATCAATCTACAGAGAAAGAGAAGAAGCAAAAAGGTTATTCAACACCAAATCAAACATAAATGTAATCTATTTTTTCATTAAAAATCACTTACTTCTAAAGAAGATGTTAACTTTTTATTAAAATGAGTGCAGGTGAAGTGCCATTAATTATAGCTGTGTATGTTGACTCAGTACAGTGACTTCTTGTATTATTCACAGCATTAAATCGAACTAAACACCATCGATCTTCCACTGGCACTTTCAGCATTTAGTGACCTTGATCTCATTCGAAATGCCCAATTGAATAGCAGAAGGGAAAACAAAGTATATTAGCTTTCTCTCAGATGAGAAAAGCATACACACGTGAATTAAAAAGAAAGAAAGAAAGAAAGAAAATGCAGCTGATGATAAATGCATCTACAGACACAAACGAACTCCAAGCGGTGACTGGGGCAGTTCAGCCAAATTGACATGCCAAGTCAATTTTCCAGTCAAGTGGTTTAAAAAGCATTTATGATAAAATGAGACGGCAAGTGCGAATACACATTGCAGAGAACATATGAGCAAAAGCAAAGGAAGAGGGGGGCACTTAGCGCGCTCCCATGGGTGACTTACTGGAGGTTTTATAGCTTTTCCAATAAATGGGAAGAAAGACGAAGATAAAAAGCTTGAATGGCATCAGATTTTCTGATGAAAAAAACAAAATAAAACAATGTTATGCTCAGAATATTGTGTGCTAATATCAGTACCATGGAAAGGATAGCTATTTAACATACATGTCAGCTTTGATTTTCTTCAGTGGGTAACATCAGAAACCCTCTGGAAAAAAGAAAAAAATGTGTATCAAAAAAACGACTCTTGGGATTGCATGTGTTGCTGTTTAGAATCAAGAAACTTCAAAACCAGCTTTACCATAAGCTGTTTAAAACATTAGATCTACAGAGACATCTTAACAAGCTGCAGGGAACCAACGTTTTTGAATAGATTTGATTACATGTTAAATGACAGAGTGTGTGAATGCAAAGATCACCAACAGGAATGTTAGAACCTCTTATTGTATCCTATTCTAAACGTGGCATAAAGCAAAATAATCAAATACTGTAGTTTATGTTGTAAGAACAAGCACAAACTCCTGGGGATTGTCAGGATGTGGTGAAGAATTGCTGGCATAGCCCTACCAAACTTCAAGGTCAGGTCTAAAAAAGGCCAGAGTGATGGCAGACCCTGATCGCCCACTCCATGGTGAGTTCAAGTTGCTTCTGTACGGATGCATCTGTCGCTCAGATGTAAAACTAATAGACTAAAATAATAATTAATCCCTGCAGCAAACAGACTTTGTAACCAACCCTGTTTATCTTTTTCTACTGTTAATTTAGTGTTTTTAAGTCTTGTCCAATATGAATGTTTTTTACGTCTACTGAACGTGAAACAAATTGTCCCTCGGGGACAATACAGATTCTTGAACTTGAATTGGGAATGTAAATTAGCTATCATCTAGGAGGTCAACGTATGAAGCAAATAATGCATAGAATGTATAAAGTTTTATGTACATGTCCATTTAAATGTACTTGAATTATTATGAACAAGTTATACAAACTTTATCAAATATTTATAGGAAGCACTCAACCATAAAATTCCTAAAGCAGGACTTTTCAACTAAATAGGGGCCACAGTTAGTCAAAGCCAACATCTCAGGGGCCGAACCTCGTGGGGGTGGGGGTTGCCCGATAATGGTAGGAGAAACACTGGATTAAGTAAAAGACCAATTATTATTATCTTTTGTTTATTATTATTATCTGGGCCAGACGGAAGTCACCCATGAGCCAGATGTCGTCTGTGGACCACTAGTTGAATAGCCCTGTCCTAGAAAACAAAGACATAAAACCTTTTTTTTGTAATTTAGCTGCCTCTCAGTCTTGTGTTTACTAGCATTTCAGTCGTTTTAACCTTTAAAAGGTCACCAGACTGAAACCGAAGAGAAAATCGTTTTATTCTGGTTCACTCTGCTTGGTGTCTTTTCCATCCAATTATTTTTATTTTTTCTTTCTGAAACTGATTCAGAGATAGCCCTCTAGCACCTTCAATCTGTAAAAGTTAAAATGTAAACAAGGCCAGGAATGAGTCTTTAAAAGATAGGTGAAGAAATAAAAAGAGACTGAGATACAGTTGCAGTAAGAGAGTAAGAAGACATTTTATGTAACCAGTCTTCTATTCGAGGATCCTTGGAAGTCCCTTTTTAACAACAGCAATAAATTTCATAACAGTCCCCCATCATATCACGTCTGCCAAGATGCCCAAAGAGAAATAATACAAACAAATCACTGCCAGTTTCCATCTCCGTTAGGTTTCAGAGCTGCCACGGAAGATCGGACAGTCATCAACTTTCCAATCACTGCTGCTAAAGGCAACCAAAACGATTAAAAAACATGATAGAAGGTTAAAAACTATATAAAAGTAAGACCTTTTTAAGTAACATGGCTGATCATGCCTATATTTTCCAGATGGACTCTACTGTACCTGCTCTTTTATTTCAAGTTTTATATGATTGGGGGGAAAAGAAAGCAGACAATTACAAGAGTCCAACAGATATTTTCATTGATTTGGCGTTTATGTTCAGATCAATCTGTCAAAGTGCAGTCCATCAAATCGAGCCATTAAGATGCAGTAAATCAGACGAGCTGCGAGGCTGTTTTAACGTCGGCAGCCTGCAAAGGAACTGCGAACGATACCGTACTTAATCAATGCTCTCTGGTCCCGTCGCATAAAAGTGATGGACTCCTCCCTTTCAAACGTCACGTGCATATCAAAGAGCAAATTTAAAAGATGTGCCAACACCGAATGACTGCAACATCTGTATCTTAAAAATTTAATTGGCCGGCAGATGGACGGCCAGAATGGCAATTTGTGAAGGTACATAATTTATCACACTGGGGCCAAGCATATGCTGGAAGGAGAGAGATGGGCCGTGACTGAGAGAGGAGCTTGTAATGTGGAGGGTCAACTGAAAGCAAAACATCAGGCTTTACAGCGTACAGTCAGGCACAAGACCAAAGCATATAATATCACAAGAGTTCAAAAACACCAACATGTGCAATTCTTCTCTGGTTCATATGAAGTTCTATATAATAAATGAGGTGCTGCCCTGTAGACTATTTTTCCTTCTATACTTGTGTCACTTCTGCAGTATTTTCAAAGCTCAGAGGTTCAAAGCAAGCATAAGGAATTTTAAATAGGAAAAGATTATGTTTTAAAGACCCAAGCAAATGTTGGCAGGTAAGAGGCAGACCTCTATTCTGTTTCAAATAAATTATATAGCAGAGTATTTTATTTGGACAACCTGGTTTCTAAAGATGAAAATAATATCAAAGACAAAACTATTTATGTTGGTGTGTGAATGTATGGAAATTGGCAGTAAGATTAAAAAAAAACTGCACAAGGAAGGCCACCTGAAATCTTGCCTGGGGTGCCAAATTGGCTCTGTTTTCTTGTATCTATATTTTGTGTCGCGGATAGGGTTGGGCGATATTGGCAAAAAAAATGAATTACGATTAATTGTGGTTTTTAGCCGATAACGATTAATTTGACGATTAATCCCCTGGAGTCCCTGGACACCATTATGTTCTAGTCACATGACCAGTTTAGTGGGAAAGATTTGCTCTTCGTAAAAATCTGTTCCAAATTGTGTCAAAATTACAGTCTTCAGGCTATACATCATATTTTGAATTGTGTTGATTAAATAAAAAATTTACAGAACCTTTTTTTAATGTTCGTCATATTTGAAGTGGAGAGGAGCATCGAGCGGACTGACTGGAGTAATCCCCAGTCAGTCTCCCTGGTGGCATTTATCATATTAATCGTCAAGTGCCAAAAACTAATCGATTAATGTTTTTCTGACAATTAATTGCACACGATACGATTATGCCCAACCCTAGTCGCGGAGGATAAATCATCATCATCTGTCCTTCTGTCCTCTCGCTAACTAGAAGTTATTTGCACATCTTTTCACATGCTCCTATCCGATTTGCTTTAAAAAACTCAAATGGTGGTCTATAAAACAAAAGCACTAAAAGCTAATTAAAAATAATGTATTGGGTTTACTTCGGGCTATGGCTTCTAATTAGAGTTAATTAGCTGGGTTGGATCGGACTCTGACGTAACGTCTATGGGCTCAGGACGAGAGGGATCAGATTTTTTTTGGCCCAATCTAAACTCTAAAAGTTTTTACTTTAATTTAGGCCCAGCGATGCTTGAAAGCATCCGTGTTTTGAATAAATCTAGATGATTCGGCTGTCACGCACAGGACTTTAACTTCACTGTGATTGTTTGTTTTTTTACTGCTGATTAACGACAAAAACACATTTCACTGATTGCGTGAATCACAACAAAACACCTTCAGCGTGATCCTCTAGACACAAGTTGCATCACAGTTCGTTGCTGCAACTTTTACCTGTTCCTCAATCAATCACACCTCTGATTGCCTCAGGCTGCCTTCCTAGCAGGTGAGTCTCAGGCAGATAACACAACGCACCAACCAACACAAAATTACTTTCACAGTTGGATTCTGCAGGAAGAAAAAAAAAAACAAAAAAACGTAGGACAGTTTTCATTTCGTCTCAGAGGGCGGCTACAGAGAATGTCATGCTCAAGGGCATCTTAGTGTGATGGACATTCGCCTTGGGTCACAGCGCTGAAGCATAAATGAGGAATGAGGTAAGGACTAAGTGAAAACTGTCAATCAGAAACAGATGCAAAAACTACGTTTGATCATAAGGTAACACTGACAGATCTTTTTAACTCTGTTCATTCAGTACAAAAAGCTAAAAGTTAAAGCCTCTTTTCCTAAAAACATACTTTTATGTTTTCTAAAAGCCCTATGGACACAATCCATATAATCCTATCACTGTTATATGAAACTATCACTAAGTATTAACAATCATCAACCCAAAAGAAAAGTGCAGCAGGACGTGAGAATCAATCAAAAATGTCCAGAATTTCTTTGTAAATTCTAAATAAAAAACACTTAAGCACATATAAACTCGCACACAATGCAAAGTCATCCATTCTTCCTTCTTCAGCAGATGTTCTCAGCAGAGCCCTTAGGCTGCACGTCTTGTTTAGTTTCTTTTATCCACACATCTGAACCAACAGATGAGGAAAACAGCAGCTGGATGTCTCTCATTTCTAGTCCCATGTGAAACCCTGAAAACTGCCTCCATCAATCTTTTTCTATTAACACTGGATTACACCACTCATCACATTTGGTTGGATGTTGCTCGTGATAACCTGTTTATGCAGACCCCTTTTTACATCCTCAGATGGCAACAGCTTTTTTAAATTTTTGGTGGTGAAGAATTAAAGAAAAAATAGTTTTGTTCTCATAAACTGACCCTTTCTTTCAAAACATCTATTAGATGACAAGATTTTGTTCTGTATTCCAAAATGAGAAATTCATTTAACTATTAATTGAACATTGTGTGTGATCTCAATTTTACCTTTAACATAGCTGCTAGTCCTGGAGATTTCCAAATTTTACAACACACAGAAATTTAGCATTATCTTTTTTTTTTCAATTAATAAATCATACTTACTATGATTTAATTTAACCTTTTTTAAATGGGTTTGCTTTGGTTACTTTTGGGAATGAGGTGAAAATCTTACAATGCCTTTGTCATTTTTATACAATTACTCTCAACCACAGCTAGCTAAGCTTGGCCATACCTGGCCCTTTAAATATAAGTGTAATAACTTGAACTTTAATAAATAGCAATATATACATACAAAAATACCAATATAATATATCTAAATAAATTTAAATTCCT